CAGAACCCATCTTTCCAAACTCTAGGTCTAAATGGAATTTTCCAGAATATGATATTATTTTTATATAAGAATATCCTTTACCCACATGTCACATAGCCACCCCACAATTTGTCACAGTGCTGTTAACAGTAATTATAGTAAATGTGTTAACTATGGTGGTTAAATTGCCATTGGTCACGTAATGGCTTAATACTGATGGACAAACAAACCTAATTTTTTAGTATTTGATTAATATATTTTTGAATTACAAGAGTCGTTAAAGTTATACATAGATTTGAAAAAAAAACTCTTCAGGAAAAATATAGGACAGTGTCTAAGGAGGCCGCATGACTGGTGTTGTGGTCGAGAGTTTGATTTCCATAAAAAATAATATCTATATGTGAAAAACAGCTTAAAAAAATATATTTTCTGGTTCGCTTTTGATACTTAAATACCTGAAACCTTTAAAAAAAAAGAGCCTGATTCCGCGTCAAAAACCTGCAACGCTATTGTAACTGCAGGCGTTCACAGACCGGGCTAGTCCCTTAACTTGGACTCATCTGCTCAAGTGTTGTTTTTTATGGCATAAGAGAAAGGGCGAGCAGCCAGTTCACCTGATGTAACTACCGCCGCCAATAGACCTGACAATAGACCTGCAGTGCTATTCTGTAAGAAAACAGCCGTGCTTACAGCGCTGAGACAGCGTCGAACGTCAAACCAAGTTCGTTTGAAATTCGACGCTATAGCGCTGTCACAAAGTCGAATTTCAAACCAAGTTCATTTGAAGTTTGTACGGTGCACGCAAGGCGAGTTCCTTAGAGAATAACACTGCCGTAACTCAAGAGCGTCGCCGCCCTTTCATACCTCTCCCCAATATCAGGGGGAGGAGGGGTCACCAGGGACTTCCTTTCTAGGGTATACCTGGTTCCCAGCTATTAGTACGGGGTGCGGTTTTAGTCGGTTCGAGTCCGACATGCCACCGATAGGTGGTATCCGAAAGGATTTCCGACCGGAAAAAAAAAATAAAAAAGTGGGAGGAGGGCTCCGGTAACCTCACTAACTTGGTAAAAGCAACGAAATGTTTTCTTAACACTGGACTTCAAAAGTCCAATTTTCGTATTAAAAATTCGGTCATAATTACGTTCCGATCAACTTTCGATCTCGCAACTGTCATAAAAGGTATTTTCGTTTTAAAGTGTTAAACATCCAACCTTGACTATAATGTGATTATATTGGTGTTTTAACCGAAAATTGACTTAGTAATCTGTTAGTCTTAGTAATACTTTACTATTTTACTACGAAAATACCTTTTGTGACATGAGTGAATTCTTATAAGTATAGGGAATATGCATGTTTTTTTTTATTTTTTTAAACGATTCTACTAGTTATTACATTACCAAAAATAAATATAACACATCCGAAATATAAACCGTTAATCAAAAATAATATTAATAATATCACTATCATTTTGGGGCAATTTGAACACGTCCATTTTGGCGCGGTTTTTTTGTGACGTGAGATTACACTTTCAGACGAATTCGATGTCAACAACGGAGTGAAGTTCACAAAGTTTGTGAAAGTTAAAAAAGTGAGTGATATAAATTAACTTATTACCATGGAAAAGCCAATAAAAACTTATTATAAATATTGTGCCAAAATAATATCAAAACTGCACCTGACAAAGTATATTCAGTCATTGTGTTGAGTCTTTCTACACGGGAATTTAATAATTTAACACTGAAAACGTATTAGTTATTAACTTAAAATGAAACAAATAATCACCAGAAACCAAATATTACAAATACACACAACTTGTTGACACTCTTGACAGTGTAGGTTGACGCCACGTTTTATTCAACCAATAGCGTTGCGTTTTAGAAATTTGCGAGGGAATCTTAAAAAAGCCAATTTTTGATGATTAAATTTCACTATTAAATTAAAATAAATTTCAAAAATAATTGAATGGGTATCTTTTTTTAGCAATAAGAATTACAAATAAAAATATTTTGTCCATTTTGGTGTCACGTGCATATTCCCTATTGGACTTATGTTAGGCCATAGTGTCTCCGGGGTAAATTTTAAAATGTATTTAAGAAAAATATCTTTGGTCATTTGTTCTAATACCTATCCTCTAAAGCCCTCCTCATTTTTCTTTCCTAGCCAGGCATCAATTGTCTGTTATTTCTGTTGTTGACGGAAAATTTGAAACTTTTATCTAAAGACGTATTCGACTGTTTAAATTGTAAATGGAACGTATTTGATTCGATATCACAAAATGTGTTATCTGTGCTTGTTTTTTTCTTCTAACGAAATACATAAGCACTTACGATATATTATGTTTAGGCAACCCTTATAGTGCCTCTTTGAGATAAAATTCTACGTTACGATTGAGCCATAGATAACGTTAAAAGTTTTGGTAGCGAATTTTTTTGTTCTCAGAAATATAGGCATTACATTGCCTATTATTATGCCTATTTTTCTTTAAATATTATAGACCTTGAACTCACTACAACTTACCGTGCCTCAAATCTATATAATTACTATTTTCATTAATGTTATACTTTATTTCAGTTTGTGAGAATAGATAGATGTTTGTTACTACTTTTACGCAAAACTACTAAAAAGATTTAGATAAAATATACAGACAGTTTTGACCTTTTTTTTTCCGTGCGGAAATCCCCTCGGATACCACCTGTCGGTGGCATGTCGGACTCGAACCGACTAAAACCGCACGCCGTCTTGGGTACTAATAGCCGGGGAACCAAGTATACCCTAGAAAGGAAGTCCCTGGTGCCCAAGTTTTGACCTGGATTAACATATAATATTATAAACAATATAACTTTCCCCTGCACCCCTGTAAACGAAGCCAACGGATGCGAAATCGTTGGTAACTGCTAGTTAGCCATATTTTATTTTATATTCTGTGGTCCTTAATCTGCATCTAGAATGACCCTTAAAATACTTCCATGGTTCGTCTATTAAGTAGTACCAAGATCGTGTTATTATGACCTTTATAAATATTCATTTATGCCTTTTATTTGCTTCTTTGAGCCTTTATGCAATCTACATAAATCTATTTTCAATTAATCAAATCAGAAATTCATAAGTATTAATTCATAAGTCTTTGATAAAAACTGATAATAGCCCTAATACTCTATATATCTCCTTGTCAATTTTTTGAAGGTCACGGTTTATATGTCCATCAGTGACATGAATATTCTTACGTACATAATCTATTTAATAAGTGATCAAGAGTTTCAATGAACAAGTACTGGTCTGTAATTACAAAAAAATACTTTTCGCCTATACATCAGGGGTTATTGAACTCGTTTGCTGTCGTCATATTAAAAAGCCTGTACCTAATGTTATTTAAAACTTAAATGTTTTTTTAAAGGCAACTCTCGCACCAGGAATAAATCCTGTGTCGCTGGGGACTTTACAAATATACATGAACCGGACACAAAGAACACTCAGACTCAGAACAACAATTTGTGGATTACACAAAGTGTTGTCCCATGTAGGGATCAAACCCACTACAGTCGGCGCAGTAGGAAGGGGCGAGGTGACAGACATTTTTATTTAGGTCACGTGGTTATTTGATTATTGGTTAGTAGCTAGCATATTCCGGTAATAACCAATTCGAGTTACAGGGGTGCGAACCTGGTCTGCTCTAAGTATTGCTCACAATTCTCAAAGCATAAGGCATATTCCTTTATTCCCATTGCCTCCCTTTTATCAAATGTTCGCTTCAATGTACTCCAAATCTTTGGTTGATAAGCTTGCTTGACGTAAATGATAAAATAACGGAAAATACTGACTAGAGAGTACGTGAAGAACTAGAAGTGTGGTGACGGATTAAGAATACAGACTATCACCACCCCTATTCATCCCGTGGGTGTCGTAAAAGCCGACCAAGAGAGCAAACTACGCAGGTCAACAGCCCTGCAAAGAGAACGAAAACTTGAAACAAACCCTCTACCAGCCCGTCTGGCCAACGTGGTATAGTAGGCCAAAACCTCCTTTCTAAGGAGAGGCCTTTTCAGCAGTAGACTATTAAAGGCTGTTGATGACTGACAAGATTTTTAGTACGCCTCTGGTAACCCTTTCGAAGCTAGAAGCGTGTGTGTATTTATGCATGTATATATATAATGATATCTGAACGCCTCGAATAATTTCGCCCAACGGATATCTTAAGTGATGACTGAAGGCTATTATCATCTTTAGTCTAATTTTATTACGATCTCGTAATAAGCGATAACATTTTCATTGATCGATTACCATCGCTGCTTATCTTTGAACAGAAAAATGTTATGTACCTAATGAGCCATACTTGGTTCGTCATGATTAGTCATTCGTTACATTTAAGATTAAATTTATTCGATATTCTGGTATGAACACACTGATTGACAATGAGTGACAGCGTTTTATCTTAAGATCAATTATGATTGACATTTGATCATGTATAGTTCATCATATCTTATGTTTATTTATAAGCCGAAAATTGGCCCTTACAAATGACTACATATAAATATATTTTTTTTACTTTAGATTTAATTTACCTCATTGTGGCTCGATTTAATTCACTGTCTCGATGTTATCTAGATCATAAGTAAGGCAAGCAGGTGTTTAAAACATGATACACAAGAAAGGTAAATTGAATACATATATTTGTCATTAAACTCCAAACATGTTTTCCAAACCATTACAATTTTTACTGACCCGTTCAAACTGATCGTACAGCGATCAGTTAAACCATAACTGTTTCTTCAACCATTCTGGTTTTCTAATACATCTGTCATCTCTCTTCCACTACATCAGACAGAGTGAGAAAGAGTAAAACGCTGTAGGGGGAATAACAGCTCAGGAATTCTTGACAAAAAGTGATTTGAATTCAAAGCGTTTATTACAAAACATGTTCACTCCACATCCTGCCGTTGATGTACCGACGTAACCGGAGAACAAAGACGTAACAAAAGCGGATATATTCACAGCACTTAAGTCCTTTATCACTTAACTATCTTTCAACGCATCACAAATGTGAAGATAGAGTTAATAACATCGTCCAAATCTTTGCTGAATGGTGACATTTGAGCTTCATAACCGCCTGTAGTCTTCTCTTTACCCGCCACGGTCAGATGGCAATTTGGTCCTAACATCTGAACGCTGTCACCTTTCACACGCTTGGTAACTGACACAGATCCGTTGCTGCCGACTAGATTGATCACTCCGTAATTATCTGTCACTTCAACCCGGCAATCGTTGCCAATCACTTCAATTTCACCCTGGTTTACAGACACCCTTATAATGCAGTTGTTGCCAACCACTTTCAGCTGTGTAGGGTTAAACTCCATGGTCACTTTCTTCTTATTACCGACGATCGAGTACTTCTTCATTGTTGATGAAATTGTTCTATTTTTCAATTAGAAATAGAAATTTAGATTTTTTTACGGAATTCGAATTTAAATTTTTAAGTTACGAATACGATATTCGAATTTGTATTTGGTTAGCTAGCGACTGTTGCTCACGGCGAGCTGCGGGAGAATGAGTAAGATCGTGAAGCGCGTTGTTTTATAAGCGCTTGCGCAGCGCATGCCTCTTAAAGTCGTCTGATAGGGACTCCCCTATGCGTCACTCATTCAATGTTAACGTGAATGATAGTAGGTAAGTTCTCTATTTCACCGACAGATTTACCGTTAATTTTTTTATTTATATAGTTATTCCCCTAAAAAAAATACTGCCTAATTATATAAATTATTTAAGTATATTAAGTATAGTTTTACTGTTCAGTACCTTTATCTCTCCAAATAACTAACATTTATTTGAATTTCTCTTAAAATTGATAAAAGTCTTTCAGATAAACCATTGACATAATATGACGTGACAATGACATTTGTTTTATGGAAGTTTGATTATGATCAGGTAAAACGAACATAAGAAATGGATAAAAGTGAATGTAGCTATACAGATTAAAATTGTGCCTAAAATGTGTAATAATATATCTATGTATTTAAATCTAAAAAACTTTGTATTTTATTATTTTTAATTTCAAACAGAAAAAGATTCACTATTTAAAGTGTCCAGTTTGTTTCTAATAATAAATGTTGCGAACAAACGGTACACGGAATTAGCGATGTTGTAGTTTTTAATCAAAATAAGGTGAATGGAGTTATTAATGGCACCATAATTAATTAAAGTAATAAATAATTTACTTTATTTTTTTAGTTCAACAGTTAGTCTAAATGTCAAGAATTAAATATATTCGAAGATATATTTTATTTGTATTTTTATAACACTATTGTGGTTTTTGATTGTGTTTAAGGATTTCGTTGGAGCTGGTCGTGACATTAGTCCTAACCTAACTTTCAAAAGCACTGCAGCTGCAAGACTTTCGTAGAACTCGATTTGTACAAGCGAAAAATTGTGCAAGCAACTGGATGATATCCTGCTAATGTTATAAATGAATGTTGAAATGATGTTTGAGGGACGACAGCTGACCATATGTCGACGAAATTGCGCAGAAGTTCAAACAGGTTGTATTATACTACTAGGATGGCAAACAAGGAGCAACATAAGTAGTATCCGGCGAAGATGACCTACTCTTCAAGTTCCTTTCAATAAAGTACCTATCAAACTGACATTCATATTTGCTTTGTATAATGTCAATGTGAAAACACTCGACGTGGCAGTATATTACTGTAATAACTGTGAGTTCATTGACCATTTTGCCACGTCGAGTGACTGAAAGATCGATTTCATATATTTGCATACACAAGCCAATTTATACTATTTTGTTATGAATTCAAAGTTGATTGTTCTATCACAAACCTCATCAACTATCCGTCGGATTTGTAATACAATTAATATTTTATACGAATTTATTTATGAGGCAGGTTTAAGTTTTACATTACGCTACGTTCCAAAGGCACTGAGCAGTGACTATAAGCGCGTATAAAACGTTAGCACGAGCCACTTCGCAACGCTTCTTGGTTTTTATCCATTATATATAAAGTCAGCATCAGATCAAATCGTCGCGGGGCAGACCCGTTCTAACTACCTGCTTTGTTAGCCAAATGACATTATAATGACTGACGTAAATTCAATGTGTTTGCAAATAAAACTTGTTGTGTTTTGTTTACAATTAGGATGGCAAATGGGCACGCCGCTGACTTGATAGTATGATAATTAGCGAGTTTGTGAAAAATTGCAACTTGTATCAAATATGTAACGTAAACACTTCCATCCTCCTCTTCCTATCATCTATTTGGTACTATACCTATAGCAATATCCATATAATAATCAATGAAAGAAGTTCTTTTCATTCCTTTTCAGTTATTTCACGCACAGGAGATTTTGAATATCGGAAAATTTGATGTATATATGGAGAATAAGTGTAGAAAGCTATGATTTATAAGCAATGAGTTATAAATACCTATGTTTGTTGATATAAATATTCAGTTAAATTATAATTTATAGTACCAACGTACTACGTAAATTTTCTGTAACATAGAGGTAAGGAGCACAGTCTAATCCGACAGAAAATCTTTTAAAACTTTATGAAAAATTCTGAACGAGTGCAAAAATGGGGTACTTTTTGACATACTTAGTCTTTTTACACATCCGGTATTTTTTTATTCCCTACAATTACTTTACACTTAGCAACATCAAATAGGTAAATATATACACTAGTTACTATTTTCCTCAATCCTCATAACTGTATTTTGTCCCGCTACAAAAGCGTCGTTTGTTTCATTATTCACATTGCGTAGTAAATTTACTAGTAATATTGACTTTGTTTAGGGAAAATCTATAGTAGACATATAATTATAACATAGAGTAATAGAGAGTTCCAGGTTTAACTATCACATGAGGACCGTACATAGGGCGAGAGTCGGGGCCTGAGGTGAAGGGCGGGAGCATCTCCTCCCGCCGCCTGTATCCCAAGCAATGGGTACGCAAAATTTCAGGTAGATGGAATAAACGGTATGGCTTTTTATTTTGTTTAATGGGGTGGATAATTGCTCCTGCTCCTCGGGGACTTAGGAACCAGGAGTATGTGGTGATTCCACTAAAAACCACCCCGACAGCCAGCCTCATCCACCCTACTTTTGGAGGACCCAAACTATGTTATTTCAGGTCCTCCCCGAATCGACACCATGCCTAATCATGGCCTATCCCCGAAGGGACGGCGTACTTAATTATAAAACAAAAAAAAAACACAAACATACATTATAATTAGTATGTCAGAGTAATTAATAATGTCAGTATTTTATTTACCTTGTCAGAGGTAATAAACCGCACTATCGTGTGTTTAATTAGTGTTATTTATTTATAAATGTATAGTTAGGTAAATTTAAACCTGATATATTTATAAATGTATTTGAGTATTATACAAAAAGACATTTTACAAAAAAAAAATAACAAAAACATTTATTGTAATAGAAACTCTCGTGTCAAACTTTTAAAGTTCAATATTATTTTCGCATACTTTTATCAGACACGACCTACGTCGCCTACTCCTAGAAAAAACTTAAAGGTCAACATCACACCTGACGCACTTTATGCTTTTTACGGAGTCGCGAACACAGGTAGGTAACTTTATTTTGATGCAAATAAAAGTCTCCTACTAAGTTATTTTTGCTAAAGATAAAATATATTATTTAACTAAAATATTTATGTATGACACTGATGCCCGGCAAAACTCGAATGAGTTTATGCGGCATCTTACTGTTTAAACTGTGTACCTTATTTTGTAATAATAAATAAATAAAAACCAACATTATTTTTCTACTTATGGGAGACTGAAATAGTTGCGCGCCGACGTTCTATTAAAACTTTGCTCACTCTTACGCTCTAATTGTGGAGTTTTTGGAGTTCTTTAATTATTATTTTTTTCAGACGGCGACGACAACGTGCTTCTTATTTTACAGGTGTCTACAAGCTTAAATACAAGTGACAAACAACATTTTTAACGTGAAACAAACCCTATACCCACCCGTCTGGCCAGCGTGTTATAGTAGGCCAAAACCTCCGTTCTAAGGAGAGGTCTATGTCCAGCATTTGACTATTAAATGCTGTTGATGATAATGATGATGTTGAAAGGTAGTCTTAATGATTTTAAACGATGACGTAAGCCATTCGTGCCACAAGCAGTGAATTCGGTTCTTTTTTCTGCAACTTGTTTTTCATGCAAAATAACTATACAAAAATGTAATACAAAAAGATTAGATTTTAATGGTTGGTTTTGATTTAATATCAGGGATTCACCTGCAATTGCTTCCGCATTAAGATATCCAAGTACTTAAGCAGATAATTTGTGAGATTATTATTTGCAGAAACACTTAAAAGTCATAAAAACTATTATCTAATGTAATTCCTTCCAATTATTTTAATCAAAGTACACTCTTATACATTTTTTTTTACTTAGTAAATTGAAGATTTTTTTTTTTAACGACTTCTGACTTATAATGTCTGTAGGTACTATGTGAGACAGATCCTTAGTAGCATTTCAACTAACTTAAATTATTTACACAGGATTCGATTAAGCTGGAATTTAATATATTATCTGGTGGTACCGTATATTTTCTAAGACATATATGATTTCCGTATATGATCTTCCAAAAAAGCCATGTTTTATTTTTATTAAAAGTTCAGAGTGATAATGTCAGTCCGTGATATCACGAAGTACTAAAAGTTAGTTAATTAGTCACAGTGCTATTGTAAACTATAAAGAATTTTGAGCACATTACTAAGACACCTATTATAGTTCATCTAATAAATTTTATCATACACCTCTGCCTAACTGTTCGGAAATAGAAGGTGCATTAGTTGTATATTTCACATAAAATATCAGGGTCAGATTATAGGTTTGATCACATCTTCTAACTGAATAATTTAACTATTCTACGATATGATCTGTAAATTTTAACCATATCATGCTTCAGTCCTGCATTTAACAAGAATTGGGCCTGTGAGTTTTGTGGGTCATTAATCCTGGATGCCAATATAAATAATTATACGTGTGGTTTAAGCCACCATCTATATTCATCTCGTGGGTGTCGTAAGAGCCAACTAAGGGAGCAAACTACGCAGGACAACAGCACTGCAAAGAGAAGGAATACTTGACACAAACTCTATACCAACTCGCCAGCGCCAGCGTGATGTAATAGGCCAAAACCACGGTACTTTTATAATACAGTAGTGTAACTCGGCCGCATGATAGAAATAAATGCCTACAGCCGCGCGGTACGTAAACATGCGTTAGGGCTGCCCGTCTCCAGCATTTTAATTATATTTGCCTACTTTCTGTTTCTATTTAGATTTGTGATTGTAAATATCCTTTTTATATAAATAAATGAAATACTTTGTATATTGAATAGGAAGTGTTCAATAAAAA